ACACACACACACACACACACACATATATTTTTTTCTAATCAAGAGTGTACGACAGAATTTTTACGAGAGGCCGGTATGGAACTTACGGATGACAATTTACTTACACTCAGTGAATATTTGAAGCATACACTTAGCCCCGACGTAAATGTTAGGCGACCAGGTGAATATAACCTTTCTGTTGACCAGCAATTTGTTACTTGAAAATATTTTACACGTACAGCAAACTCCCGCATGCATTCTTGTTTACAGAAAGACTTAACCTCTTTCTCTAATAATTTCAATTACAATCTACGATCTAATTCGCCCAATTTTTTAGAAAGCTTGACACGTGGACGTTCAATTTGATATTTTTCTTCGACTATTTAAGAAACAAAAATACCATAATATCGATAAAATAGTTTTAGTCGTAGATATACAGCCGGTTAAATTTGTAGAAACATATTTTTCATTTCGCATCTTTTCGTTTTTTTCTACTTTCTTAAAAAGTAAATGACAATATTTATCTGTATTGATAATAAAACAATTTATGCAATATTATTATCAGTTGAAATCTGCAAAATATGTAAATAACAAGTCGCAATTTTAAGCTTTTACGTTAATTTTCTTTTGAGATTCATATAAAATATTACCTATACGTTTATACTTTTTTTTACATCTCCAAGTTGATTTAATACGTATATACGTATTAAAACGTAACCTTAATTATTTGTTTCGTATGCTTTAGCCGAAAAGTTTTTAAAATCAGTTGAAGTAAATCAAAATTATCCGCTACTTCTGTTGCATCTTGTGGACAAGTCTGAAATCAATATAACTATTAGAATTGCTGGTGCAGTTGCATTTAAAAATTATGTAAAACGTAATTGGAAAGTGGTAATTATTTATGTTATTTGTATATTCTCGTTTTAATATCTGCAGTTTATATCTGTAGTTGATTGTTAGTTAATTATACAATATAATTTACTTCACATTCAGGGAGAAGATTCTGTGGATCGTATACATGCGCAAGATAGAGATGCTATAAAAAAATTAATTGTTAATTTAATGCTGCACTCTCCCGATTCAATTCAAAAACAATTATCTGATGCCGTCTCGATAGTTGGAAAGTATGATTTTCCAAATAAATGGCCTGAACTTATTGATCAAATGGTTGAAAAATTCAATACAGGGGATTTTCATGTTATTAACGGCGTCTTACATACCGCGCACTCGTTATTCAAAAGATATAGATACGAGTTTAAAAGTCAGAGCCTATGGACTGAGATAAAATATGTATTGGATAGATTTGCTAAACCTTTGACCGATTTGTTTGTTGTAAGAATTTTATTTTACGACTTCTCCCTTAGTCATGGCTTACCAATTGCTTCTTCAAATTCTTAAATTGTGTTTTAGGCTACAATGAATTTAATGCAGGTACATGCAAACAATGTAGATGCATTGAAAGTTATATACAGCTCTTTGGCAATTTTGTCCAAGGTGTTTTATTCTCTTAATTTCCAAGTGAGTAAGAGACATTGTTTACACGTGTACAATGTAAAACTCTTTTACTAAAGATACACGTACTTTATTTTTAGGATTTACCAGAATTTTTTGAAGACAATATGGCTGTGTGGATGAGAAATTTCCATATTTTATTGAACATAGACGTTCCCTCCTTACAATCTACCGTACTATTACAATTTATTATTATATTTTTCTTTCCATTCTATATATGTTACAACGTTTGATCTGTGCACAGGATGAAGAAGAAGCAGGAGTAATCGAGCAGTTAAAGTCACAAGTCTGTGACAATATTGGCCTTTACGCTCAGAAATACGACGAAGAATTTCAACCATACTTACCTGAGTTTGTAACTGCCGTGTGGAATTTATTGACATCAACGGGACAACAACCGAAATATGATGCTGTATGTAAATTTAACATGTTTTTTTTTTGTACGTTGGAATTATTCTTAATGATTTTTTTGCATTTTTGCAGTTAGTTTCAAATGCCTTACAATTTTTAGCAACGGTAGCCGATCGTGCTCAGTATAGAAATTTGTTTGAAGATCCAAGTACTTTGAGTAACATTTGCGAAAAAGTTATAATACCGAACATGGAATTTAGAGGTAATCGCTATAAATGGTATATTTATTGCACGTGTCTTATGTCTGTTAATTTATACGTAAACAAAAATTAATATTTTATAGAAACGGATAATGAATTATTTGAGGATAATCCGGAGGAATATATCAGGCGAGATATCGAGGGTAGCGATGTCGATACACGAAGGCGTGCTGCTTGTGATTTAGTCAAAGTACTTTCTAAATATTTCGAAGCAAAAATAATGGAAATTTTCGGCGCCTATATACAGGTAAATACGCAAGGAAAACACGCAAGAAAACTTGACGTATACGTAACATTGCATTCTTCTCAGGTGATGTTACAAAATTATGCTGATAAACCAGCTGAAAATTGGCGAAGTAAAGATGCTGCTATTTATCTAGTCACCAGTAGTGCGAGCAAAGCTCAAACTCAGAAACATGGTGTTACGCAAAGCAGCGAGCTCGTTTCATTGCCTCAATTTGCGATGCAACATATCGAACCAGAATTGGTCAAACCAAACGGTACGCACAGTTTTATCGAAACTACTGGAATTGTACATTGTTCATCGAGTCTCTGAAAACAATTATTTAATATCGTTTCCAGTGAATGAATTCCCCGTTCTTAAAGCTGATGCCGTTAAATTTATAATGACCTTCAGGTCGATATTGCCAAAAGAAATGATAATTGGTAGTCTACCACAATTAATTAGGCATTTGAGTGCCTCAAATATCGTAGTTCACACATACGCTGCTTGCGCGATTGAAAAAATACTCGCAATGAAAGGACCTGATAACACACCTTTGTAAGAAAATTAGTAGTGATGTTAAATTATAATATGAAATTGAGACTTACGAGTCAACTTGATACACGTATTTCAATGCATATATTTTCTAAATCGTCAAATTTTATGTCTAGAGTTAAAGTAAATGATATATCGCCACTGACATCGGATTTATTAAAGGGTCTATTTGTGTGTTTAAATACACCTGGCTCAGAAGAGAACGAATACGTAATGAAAGCTATTATGAGAAGCTTCGGTATTCTACAAGAAGTGATTGTACCATTTTTAGCAGATCTTCTTCCAAAACTTACAGAAAAGCTTGCCATCGTATCTAAAAATCCAAGTCGTCCCAACTTCAATCATTATCTCTTCGAAACGTTTGCTTTATCAATTAAGTAAGTACAAATTATACAAAGATATTAAAAAAAAAAAAAAAAAAGAATCAGAGAAAAAATTATAAATATTTTATTATATAATTCTAGAGTAGTTTGTAAAACACATAAAGTCGCTGTATCATCGTTTGAGGAAGCACTATTTCCAATTTTCCAAGAAATCTTGCAACAAGACGTTCTAGGTAAATTACTTTATATTTAACGTACTCGTCAATTCTGTTGCCAATTCTTTTTCTAACTAACGTTTTTCTCATTTCTCAGAATTCTTACCGTACGTTTTTCAAATACTTGCTTTACTTCTGGAACTACGAACAACTCAAGATATGCCAGAAGCATATTTGGCTTTGTTCCCCTGTCTATTGTCATCCGTGTTGTTCGAACGCCAAGCTAACATTCATCCATTAAATCGATTATTAAGAGCTTTTATTAGCCATGGTGCACATCATATAGTAGCGCAAGACAAGACAAATGGTTTGCTAGGTGTATTTCAAAAATTGATCGCTTCAAAAGCCAATGATCACGAAGGTTTTCTATTGTTACAAAGTATCATTGAATATTTTGCACCGTAAGATTTCTCACCAAAGATTTTTATTATGTTGCCGTCTATCGTCTGTGTTATACGTAATGTTGATTTTTAGGAACGTATTGGAACCATACATGAAACAAATTTTCATATTACTGTTTCAAAGACTTTCATCTTCGAAAACGACAAAATTCGTAAAAGGTCTAATCGTATTTTTTGCGTACTATATCATTAGATACGGTTCGAATAGTTTGGTTACGATTATAGATGAAATACAGCCTCGGTAAGTTTCTCTCCCATTGAAAGTTCCCATCTATAAACTAAACGTATAATTAAATACTAATTGATGCAAACGTACGATATTTAATTAATCGCAGAATGTTTGGTATGGTTTTGGAACGTGTACTGATAGCAGATATGCAAAAAATATCGGGCGATATTGAACGAAAAGTAACCGCAGTCGCAGTGTCCAATTTACTAATCGATTATCCAACGATACTAGAAAGGCCGTACAATACGTATTATCCTCGTTTATTAACGACGTTGGTAGAATTTTTTGAATTACCACAGGATCAGACTACATTGTCCGAAGATAATATATTCCCAGAAACTGAAGATACACCTGGGTATCAAGTAGGATATAGTCAGCTGCTTTGTGCAAAAAATCCCCCAAAGGATCCTCTGGAAGGTACAAACGCAAGAATAATTTTATCTTATTACGTTAATTTTAATCATCCGTTTAATACATTTTAACGGACAACTGCTAAATTTTTGACGAACTAAACAAGTTTTGTTCTTTGATAAACAGCTATTGGTGACGTGCGTTTACATTTAGCACAAGGATTAGCGAGATTATCGCCGAGACAATTACTTAGTATTCTCGACCAAATCCCAGAACCTAATGCAAACCATTTGAGGGGCTATCTCCAAACGGTTGGTATTACCGTTGCATAATACGAGCTAGATGTCCGAGATAGACTAAAAATTCATCTGATTGCTCGGAAAATAAACAATATTGAATTGAACAAATCGTAACGAAGGGTCAAAAAAGAAGTTGCTTCTCTGGCTTCTCTACGTTACGAATACCTGCGTGATCGAACATTTGTATCGTTCGCCTGTCATGCAACATTTGAACATTTCAAGAATTATTTACTATTTTCGCGTGAAATATTGTTCAGAGCCTGTGACTAGGAATTATTAAACAAGAAAAAAAGGAAAAAAAAAGAAAAATACTAAAACTGTAGCACAAAAATCACCGAAGATAATCAACTGCTGCGTATTATTTATATGTAAAAACATTCCCAAGGAATTATTTAAATCACTTTACATTTTGTATAGTATCAAGGACAGACAAACACGTCTTTTGAGATCAGCTGTTTAAGTAATACCTTGTTTAATAAATACGTGAATATCTAATTACGTGACGTCGTATTGACTAACGTGGCCTGTGGGTAAATCAATCGTTGAACAATTTTTAAACTCGAATGTACAATTTTTAATGCGTACTGCTGTATCTCTGTAAAGATCGTCGAAGAAAAATTCTGATCGCATTTTATATTTCAAAGAAATATTCGTCTCTACTTTCGTTCCCTGTCATTAGGAGATCAAGAAGAGAAAGAAATCCACTTGTGAAGTCTTCCATAAGTAATGGAACCAACGTAACTTTTAGTAGCATTTTGGATAACGTTGGCAATAATAATATCAACAAATAGACAAAGAAGCGATTCTACATTGAAAAGAAAAAAAAACAGAGTAACATTTTTTTTATATAAATTTTCATTTAACGAAAGAAAAAAGAGGATCAGTTTGAGCATTAGTCGAGCATAGTTGGACGTAACCAACTTCGGTGGAACAAAACTGTCTTATCACACGCTTTCATTTTTAAGAAGATGAAGTTTGCAAAATTAACTAGGAATTCGCGTGTTAAGAAATAAATTTCTAAATACGAATCGGATCTTAAATATACCTTGTTTTTTCTTTCATTTTCGTAAAGCAACCTTCTGTTATTGATAAAATAGCGCTCAGCCAGTAATAATAAGCTCACATGCGTGACAAACAAATTATTTAATTTATGATTTCACACGGTATTGCGCTTTTATTGACTGCATCGCTTTATCACTAGTGGATCCCTTTATCACTTACGTAATCAATATCAACGCAAAGGACAAGAAGTACAACGAGTTGCAGTTGACACTCGTTTTCGTGAAAATCGAGTTCGCAATCTCGAAACGTTCGATTTCATGTCGAAAGGCAAGACTACTGTTACACGTAGAAGTTACCAATCTGTGTCCACAACTCGTTATCAACGACAGTATCATGGCAGTGTAGTGTCTGATGTTTTTCACATAGCAATTGACGTGCACTTGCATTAAGCAAGTAGTTAGTGAGGATATCTAACAATATACAATGGCGAGAATAATTCTGCTGTGGCTATTGTTTGTTGTATGTTTGATTCACCGCTCGTTAGGGTTTTATTTGCCGGGTCTAGCGCCGGTGAATTATTGCAAGCGCGGAGAAACTTCTGAAACGTGTAAAGTACGTATAAAAGAAATTATCGTTGAGTGTATATCAAGGATTGGTTATGATCATGCTCATCCCCTTCCTTCAAACTTGTGATATTTATAATATTTACTTAAATATCACCAGGAATCAAACGCACTCGTTGCGTACTTTCGTATTGTATCAATTAATTGACGAGTAATTTTTTATAATTGCAAGTATCTTTCGTGACACGTGACTCATAGCAGAAAATATTCAAATATTCAATTATTTGCAGAGTCTTGCAGAAATAATCTCTCATCGAAGTTACATAAACACAGACTCGAGTACTTTCACATTTTAATTTGTATTCAATTTTAGAACGAAATGTCGAATATGTTCAAGTACGTGCGTTACAAATGTCAGGTTTGAAAATATAATGCTTCTTTGGTTAATTGGAAATATTCCTACATTTTCAAGCTCGCATTTATCGCATTCGTCGCAACTGTTACATACGTGAAAGTTTGAAAAAAAGTTCAATTTGCAGTGTATTCGTATATTACATTGGTATAATGTACGTAATCTAAACTTTAGATTTATTTTTATTAGCATTACTTTTTTTTCAGTCTGAAATCAAACTGTACGTAAATCGTCTAAACACTGAGAAATATGTAATACCGTACGAGTACCATCAGTAAGTTTTTTTCACGAGATATATGTAATTTACAGTCACATTTTTTAATTTCCTATTTACGAGTTTAAATCGTTATGCCAAGAATTTTTCCTTCAGCTTTGATTTTTGTCCTTCCGACGAAGCTCAGAGTCCTGTTGAAAACTTGGGACAGGTCGTTTTTGGAGAACGTATAAGGCCTTCTCCTTACCAGGTACGGTAAAAAAGATACTTCAGAATTGTTCGTTACATTTGGTTTCATTTATTTTTATAATTTTAATGACTGACTATGGGAAATAAATGTTGCGTTCTTAAGCAAAAGTATCATTGGGATAGCAGGATCTGAGAATATATTAAAGGATTTGAGTTTATCAAGTTTTTAAGTAAAACTTGGGAAATTTGTGATTTTGTACGTACATTGTTACAGTCTGCTATCTGATTCAAATACTTTCTGCTCTCGAGTATAGTTTTGCTTTGTTAAAATAAAACTACTCGATTGAATGTTCGCAAAGTTTCCCATGGTGTACCATGGATCTGTGACTACGGTCACATAGTCGAGTTTCACGGTTATTTAGATCTTGGTGTTCATTGCGTTTTATTTTATTTTTGAGGACACAATCCGAAGGTTTATATTCGTTGTATATCTTTAAATTACAACGATATGCGAATAAAGCATTTAAAGAATATAGAAGAGATAACTGACGTGGACTTAGATTTTATGTCATAATTTTAATCTTACCTTGTTTAAACTTACGTATATCGCATTAAAATTCTTTCTTTTAAATGGACATACGTTCTGTACGTAATATATATATCATAAATTTTTATCCTATTTCTCTTTGGAACAGTGATCCAATATGTTGTTCATAAAATAATGATACAACTTAAAAATAACAGTTTCGTATCTTGTGTTTTCTCTGTCTATGAATCAAATATCGGTGCAACCGAGTAATATAAAAAAAAAATTAGGTTTTAAGTTTTTATGTAATATACATATACGAGGAAAATGATATAAATTCTGTAAATTTTCAGTTAGAGTTCATGAAAAATGTTAAATGTGCAATTGTATGTAAAAAAACATATAACGGAGGAAACAGAGATTCAGAAAAAAAATTGGAGTTTTTGAAAAAAGGAATGGCGTTTAATTATCAGCATCATTGGATAGTTGGTAATATCTTAATAATAGAACAGGTTGAAATATAAGAGCATCGTCAATATTGCCGTGCTAACTCACTCTTTCTCTTTCTTTCTTTATAGATAATATGCCTGTTACATGGTGTTATCAGTTAGAAGATGAGCGACAATATTGCAGTACTGGATTTCCCATGGGATGCTTTTCTCGAGAATCGAGATCTCAAGTGGACACCTGCAGTATCAATGTAAATTTAAGTCGATACTATTTCAGGAAAAATTACTTGGAAGATTTAAAAAATTCCTCAAATTTAAAACATGATATAAAAAATATTACAAGTGTGCACGAACCCGAAAATATCAGGAATCGGGTATTCGAGATCGGGTTGGAAGATTCTCGAGGATTTCAATAATCTGAAGCATCTAATCCAATACCGACATTTTCGGATTCTCGCATACCCCGGAGAAACTGTATATAGCAATGAAATTAATTAATTTTTTTCTTTGTCAGGGTGCATATAACAAACCAAAAACTTACTATCTATTTAATCACGTAGACCTTACGATCACGTATCATAGCGGTGTTAAAGAAGATTGGGGATCCGCATTTAAAGAAAATGGAGGACGTATAATATGTAGGGACCGAAGTATCATTTTACCATATTGTCAAACTCGCAGTGCAAATTTTTACTGATTTTATATATTTATTTTCTTTAATAGCTGTTAAAGTGGTTCCTCGTAGCATTAAACATACTCCAGGTACTCGTATTCCTGACTGTGAATATAAAGTACCGTTAGAAATACCACACGGTGCACTTCCTTCCGGTCAAGAATTATCTGTTATTTATACATATTCTGTGACATATACCGTACGTATTAAAATTGAGAGACTAAGCATAATTTGTACTTCGACGGTATTATTTTGAATAAAAAGAATTTTAATTTTAGGAGAACAGTACGATCAAGTGGTCATCTAGATGGGATTATATTTTGGAATCTATGCCACATACAAATATACAGTGGTTTAGTATCCTTAATTCGTTAATAATTGTTTTATTTCTTTCTGGAATGGTGGCCATGATATTGCTTCGAACATTGCACAAAGATATTGCGAGATACAATCAGGTATATTAAAAGAATACTATTTTTAATCGTTACAGTTCGTTAACTTTTCCTTCGCTTTATTTTAATTGATAAAAATAATTAATAAGAATAACAAAAAGTTTTATTCGTTATTTCAATTTAATGCGTTTGATTTTGCTA